AATAAGGTAGAACACTACCCACATATCACTGCTAAACCATTATTGTTAGATATCATTAACATGACAAGAATAAAATGATTGCAGCAAATTATATTCATATTTAATACATATGCGTCTAATGCCATTACATCTAAATTTTGAAGGAAAAGTTAACTGAATTGCTAAAGACTATAGATAGAAAAACATGAATAGGTACATATTATAATACTTCACTTTTGCAATATAATTACTCAGATAAGAAGATATATGACAAAGAAATTTAAGCATTCAACAGAATACTGAAAAAATAGGTGAAGAGAATTAAATGGATATGTTAGAAAATTTACTTTTTATTCAAACATACATGAGGAATACTCAGATTTGAGTATTTATGAGTTCATATGGCATCTTTGATATAGATCACACTTAGGTTATAAAGAATACAAATAAAGAAAGATTAAACATTTAAATGCTATTTTTATAGAACATAATAAAACTAAAATAAGGATAGAAAGATGAATATTATTAAATGACGAGGATTTGTGTAAGAAAGATTGAGCCACATGCAAAATTAAAGAAATAACAAACTGTGTTAAAGGTAATCACAGTAATGACAAACACAACCTATAAACATTTATGCAATACAGCTAAATGAGTTCTTAGAGACAAATTCATTTGCTTGACTATATTAATAAAGGAGAAAAAGAAACAATGAGTTTTCATTGCAGATTATATATTAGAAAGCTGGCATATTATTTCAATCACAAGAAGCAGAAAAGAAGACTTGATTACTATAATCAAACAGCAAATTAACAGAATTGAAAGGGGGAAAAGTAATACTAACCCAACACTGTTAAATTAGTGAGCTAAATATAAAGCCGTTTTATTTTTTTAAATGTCACTACAGTTTGCATACTGTTGGCTAATTTAACTGAAACAAAGAGAGAAAACTAAATCAACAAAAATTAAAAAACAAGAGGGGAGAAACAACAGCAGATAGTGAAGGAGGTTTTTTCATAGAGAATATGACAGGCAAATCTCATCAAAACAGAAAATATAAAAGAAATGAATTACTATCAATAAAAGTATGAAATATTCATACTGGCAAAATGATAACTAGATAAATCCAGTAATTTAACTGGACTACACAATTTGTGAAATGTCATGATAAGAAAGACAGATTCATTCATTAGTTAATTCTATCAAACACCCTTATGCTATATAAAGCATTTTTAAAAATAGAGACAGACAGCATTCTACACAGTGCTTTCTATGAGCTAAATATGGTTCCCACTCCCAAACTAGGAAAAGATAGTCAGAGAAAGGAAACTATAGACCAATATCATGAATGAATACCCAAGAGGAAAAAGTAGAATACTGTCCAGTAGGATATGGCAATACATTTAAAAATTTCATTTTGATTAAGTTAAATTTGTAGCAGAAATGGCAGAATGGTTTGATATTAGAAAATAATTAGTATAATAGATCATTAATAAAATTATATGCTATATTAATAAATGTAGGAAAAAACTTTGATTAAATAACAATCCTCATTTATGTTAAAATGCTAATGAGTAGGAATATAAAAAAATACTATCAAAGTATAGGAATAGAAAGATTTTTCCTCACCACAATAAACCATGCTCCTTAATAAAATATATGTGTATATGTGTGTCACACACACAATCATACACATCCACAGATACACTTTTTTTCCCTCTCAGTGTTACAGATAGATTTGAGATTGAGTTCTGGATATGAACATAAATATCAAGATTACTATGTCTCAATCTCCTGGGAGTCAAGGGGCTAGAAATGGGACAAGTTTCTTCTATGTGTATATAAAACCTATGTGTGAAACTGTGTCTGATTATTTTGGTAACTGTGTGTGTGTGGTGTCTGTGTGTGTGTGTGTGTGTACAGATATGACTGAAATTGGATAAATTCCAGTGATATAAGGTAGATTATTTTTATTTACAAAATGAATACTAAGACAAATAGAGTTAAGTGACATAGAGAATAGAATACTGGTCCTTGAAGTTAGGCAGATAAGAGTTCAAATCTGGCCTTACGTACTAGCTGTGTGACCTTGGTCAAGTAGCTTAAACCTCTTTCTTTTTCAGTTTACTCATCTGTGAAGAAATGACTGGAAAAAAAAAGAAAAATAATAGTACCTATCTCTCAGTATTTACCTAAATGCCTCCTCCCTCCCTCCCTTTTGCCTTCCTTCCTTCTTTCCTTCCTTCCTTCCTTCCTTTGTTCCTTCCTTCCTTCTTTCCTTCATTCCTTCCTTCTTTCCTTCCTTCTTTCCTTCATTCCTTCCTTCTTTCCTTCCTTCCTTCTTTCCTGTCTTCCTCCCAACCTTCCTTCCTGCCTTGTTTTCTTTTCAAGAAAAAAATGGACATTTTTTTCTCCTGAAGGATTACACACAGTTTTGTGGGGTCAGTCATTCTTGGTTGTAATCCCAGCTCATTTGCCTTCTGGAATATCATATTTCAAGCTCTCTGCTTCTTTAACGCGCAAATCTTGTGTGATTCTGATTGTGGCTCCTTAATGTTTGAATTCTTTCTGCCTGCTTGCACTATTTTCCCGTTGACCTGGAAGCTCTTGAATTTGGCTATAAAGTAAGTTTTCATTTTGGGATCTCTTTTAGGACGTGATTGGTAGATTCTTTTTTTTTAAATCTTTTTCTTACTTTTTTCAATTTATTTCTTTTCCATAGCATTCTCTTTAGTAGCCTTTAAAAGCATAACATTTTCTCATATATGAGTCTGTCTTTCCTCCTGTTCTGTTTTCATCAGAACTGGAGTATATATGGCTCTTTCCTGCTTGAAGTCATGATTGTCTCCCTTCATTTTCCTATTCAGGCTAAGTGATCCTTCAGTCTTTCTCTGGTCTTTTCCAGAGAAGTCCTTCCTTACTGAATACCTTCCTTGAATCCATAGCAGTGATGAAAACATCACCTCTGTCCCTTTTGTCTTTAGTTTCTTTCCACAACTTCCTAATCTGTCTAGCTTCCTTCTGGCAGTATTGTTACTGCCCATATGAATCAGCAGAAGCAGAGTTTGCATGCTCTCCACAAGACATCCTTTTCCAAGTTTTCACATCTCCAAATTAATTTATTTTACTGTAGTACTATAGCAAAGATTTAGCTAATGGAGAATCAAAGAGAATTCTTACTTATATAAGAATTCATGCTTTGAAAGGTATGGGGAAGTGTGTATACTCTAAGCACTTGACTCCAAACACCACACACACACTTCTTACAGCTCAAGAAGTCTAACATAAGTAGAATGACAAACAACCACTATTCTCCCCTTCAAGGTCGGTGTCGGCCTCATCCTTGAGAACATTTTCTATGCTCAGGTGATTGTTAGATTCTTTTAATTTCTATTTTACCCTTTGATTCTAAGATATCAGGACAGTTTTCTTTTATAATTTCTTGAAATGGCCTCTTTTTTTGATCATGTCTTTCAGGCACTTCAGCAGTTCTTAAATTATTTCTCCTTGATCTGCTTTCCAGCTCAATTGTTTTTCCAGTGAGACATTTCACATTTGCTTCTATTTTTTTTTTTCGTTCCTTTGACTCTGTTTTATTGTTTCTTAATGTCTCATTGAGGGCAGCAAGGTGGCACAATGGATAGAGTGCTGAGCCTAGAGTCAGGAAGACCCGAGTTCAAATCCGGCCTCAGACACTTAATAGCTGTATGATCCTGGGCAAGTCACTTTAACCCTGTTTGCCTCAGTTTCCTCATCTGTACAATGAGCTGGAGAAGGAAATGACAAAGCACTCTAGTATCTTTGTAAGAAAATTCCCAAAGGAGTCATGAGGTATCAGACATGACTGAAAATGACTGAGCAACAACCACAACATGTCTCATGGAGTCATTAGCTTCTACTTGCCCAATTTAGATTTTTAAAGAATTATTTTCTTCAATAAGTTTTTGTACCTCTTTTCCCATTTGATCAGTTCTTCTTTTTAAAAAGTTTTTTTCTTTCTGAATTTTTGTGTCTTTTTTTTTACAATTTGGCCAATTCTGGTTTTTTAGGTGTTGTTTTCTTCAGTATATTTTTTTGTGCTTCTTTTACCAAGCTGTTAATTCTCTTTTTATAATTTCCTTGCATCATTCTCATTTCTTTTTCCAATTTTTCCTCTGCCACTCGTCTCTTTAATTCTTCCAGAATTTCTTGTTGGGTTTGTGTACACTGTATTTTTTTTTCTTTGAGGCTTTGCTTGTAGTTGTTTTCACATTTTCTTCTTCTGAGTTAGTGTCTCAATCTTCCTTGCCACTGTAGTAGCTTTTTGTGGTCAGGCTCTTGGTTACAGAGAAGAAGCTGGCTTATACTAGTAGAGAGTTTCCTCACTGGAGAGTTCCCTTCCCTATCTCAACAAAATCACAGCTTCTGTCCTTCTATCCTGGGTTGTTAATAATATAATCTGTATAACATTAACCAGGTCACTTCCTCATCTCTAAAATAAAGGGTTTGAACTATGAGATAGTATGGTAAGGTGGACAGAGCACTAGCCCTGGAGTCAGAGGACCTGAGTTCAAATCATGCCTCTGATATTTGCATCCTACATGACCTTGGGCAAATCACTTAACCTCCATGAACCTCAGTTTCCTCACCTGTAAAACAAGGAAGCTTTTCTAGATGGCCTCTGAGGTCCTTTCCAACTGTTGACCCATGATCCTGTTTTGACTGAATGATCCCAGTGTCCCCTCCAATTTTAAATTCTGTTATTCTATATCTATATTTAAACATAGGCTATAGAATATGCTATTGATTTTAATATTTCTCCTTAAATATGGGATCTATTAATGCCAACATTAACCTAATTAACTTCAAGGTTTCAGTAAAACTAAAAGAAAAAGGGATTAATGATGTAGCTGAAGAGAATGATGAAGTTTTGTTCAATTTTTCATGCATTTTTATGCAGTTTGGGGTAAAGAATTTGTTATAGCACATTGTCACTTCTGTCATAATCTTAAGATGTATGTTTCTGTTCTTTATTACAAAAGGAAAATCACTGCAGACGAATTAAAATCCTGGGGGACTGCTACTATTGTGTGTCAGGACTGACTCAGCCCAAAACTGACCATGCCCATTGCTGCGTTGAAATGGGGCTGGACATGATTGACACCATCACGTGAGTATCTCAGAGGCGGGGCTAGAAGGGCTTCACAGGAGAAATAGCCTCAGTGCTTAGAGGATGATATCATTTTGGACAATAATTTTTGCCCAGTAAGAGATGTCTTCTCATAACAGATGATCCCATTGAACATTTTTAATGGATTTTTCTCTTTCAAATCCCATTATCTATCACCACCTTCCCACTTCATTTCCCCACCCCCATGGGCTTATGGAATAATTTCTGTATTCTAGCTGACTTCTGGAGATCATGTGAAAGAGATGTGGGAGTTTGTACCCTCTGTGCCATAAACTGTAGTTTTAAGTCTTTCACTCTCAGATTATACTTTTTAGCATTGTTCCCATGACATGCTTTTATCCATAAAGTAATATACTCTGAAATTACAGTGAGGATGACTTACTAGGTTCTGGTTACCGTGATAGGGAGTTCCATTTTCATCAGAAAATGACCTGAGAAGATAATTTGGTGAAGTGTATTGGGCAAACTTGTTGGGTCTTTCAGGTTTCAGCTGGATTCCTCTGTAAGGGAGAAAACATTCTAGAGCAGGAAGGATTTTGTAATCACTTATTTACCAAAGCTGCCACCTGCAGAGATTCTGGGAATGGAGTTTTCATCCTGTGTTTGTGATAAAAGAAGAGACTTTGTGGGGAGATGTTTAGGTGCAGAACCACCTATGAAATTGACTGAGGTAATTATAATGCAGCTCATCATGCTCCCAGGACCAGTTTGGCCAAATCCTTTGGATTTGGAACAATACACATCCTATTTAAAGCTCCTGTCCTGAATCTAAAATCCTACTCCTGTTGGTAATGGTTCTGAGGAAGTCCCAGGTGATGCCACACTCAAATCCACTGGTTTTGATCAGAACTTTTAAGGAAGCACAGCATGACATTTAACAAATGTTGATTTTAATCCATTGTATTCTCTCTGAAATTTTGAGAATTTGGGAAATACTGGCTTTAGCATTGTGACATGTTCTTTTAAAAGTTTATTTTTCAACTGAACAAGCAGTTATTTTTTCTCCCTCCATCTCCTAATTTAAAAGGAAAAAAAAATACCTTCGTAAAAACTTTGCAAAGTCAAGCAACACAAAGTTCTTGATTTGTCCGTGTCCTAAAAAAATGTATTTCTCATTCTCCATTTTGAATTAGGATATGTTCTTAAATTTGACATATTTCAGAAAGGATTCAATACAAGCAAGTGCCATTTAAACAAATCACTCTGTATGTACATAACCATACACATCAAATACATTTATAGACCACCATATGCATTTACAAGATATTTGTGAATATGTGCAGATGAAGAACTTCTCTTACAGATCATCTATGCATTTATGAGATATATGTGAATATGTGCAGATGAACAACTTGTCTATCACTTTCAAGTTTTAAAGGGCTTTCTGTGACTTTAAATAATTAGTCAATGGTGACACACTCTAAAGAAACCATGGGTCCAGATCCTCCCACATCCCTGGCTTCCTGCCCTCTTCCTCCTCCCCCCACAGAAGGAAGTATTGAAATATATACACATGAAAACATATTAAGCTGATTCATAAAAAGCATGTTCATGCTTCACACATACTGTAGTATACTACAGAAAAGGAAAGAAATGCTCACTACTGTCTTCCCTTATGTCAGTATTTGACCAACATTTTCAACCTTCCATTGTAAGCTAACAGCTCATTGACAACACTTTCATGAGGATAGCTTGCCTTTTTGAAACATGACAGTCAATTTAGATGCTTTCAAGTATTATGCAGATTTTTCTGAAAGGTAAGATGAATTTCCCATCAGTGCTTTAAAAGAGAAGTTGAATGAAGCAAATGTTAAAGTGGGGAGAGAAACCATAGTAAATGCTTGTGAATCACGGGCCTGTGTTGACTGCACATTTGAGTGTTTGAATCAAGCTCATTTTTAATATTTAACCAGAAGGAAATGATCTTCTGTCAGAGGATTCAGATGCTCATTTCCTGGGAATATGTTCATAGAAATATTTAGCTTTTCTCTTTCTCTAACCTGAAAACACAGGGATATTCTCATACAAACCTAGTTTCATTGCAGACTTACTCATGGGAAAACAACAGCACTAAGCATGCCATATGTAAAAAGAAGATAAGTAGAGTAGGAAAAAAAAAATCTTCCAGGATGAATAAAGTACAAGGAAACTAGGAGAATTTAGACTATTGTGGGATTTATCCGAACAATGTACAAAAGGAGAAATGTGAACAGGACTGAGTGAATACAGGGAAGCTTAACCTTTCTCTCTCTGGACACTTATGTTACCTCAGATCTCATTAGCTTTAAGGACAGCCATTTTATTCCATTCATTCATATTGTGCTTGCCACCTACTAATTGCTAATTACTATGCCATGACTGAAGGGGTTTTTTTTTTTAACACATAAAGAATTTTCTTATTGTAATGGTCCCATCACAGGACTAATTCATATTTTGACTGGAGCAACCTTTGTTAAATTATCTTTACAACAAATGCATTATAAACTCGTATTAAAGCACTGCTTAATTAGGGTGTAAGTGTATTCCTTTTCCAAACCTCAAGCATGAGTATGGGTAACTTCATCAGAAGGGCTATAAAAAGACATACAACAATATTCAAATATAGTGTGTGTCTTTTCAGATTCAGCTTTGCCTTTAAAAAATTGTTACTTTACCAAAAGAATAATTAAAATTATTTCTATAATAGGTCACATTTCTATAGAATTTAAGGTTTGCAAAGCACTTTCCTCACAAAACACTGAGACAAATATTCAAAGTATTATTATCCAGATTTTGTACATGAGGAAATGAGGATGAGATACGGAGTGACTTTCCCTTTCTCACATAGTATTTTTTCAAGACTACCAAGCTTAAGGGACAGGAAGGTAGGGGCACTTAGTTTTTTGAGTCTATGCTGAAAAAAAAATGTAAACCTGATGGTGTTTCTCTTGAAGTACCAATTATTTTGACATACATTTCATCTCAATTTTTTGTAATCTGTGCTTATGGCAAATAAATGAATGAATGAGTGAATGAATAACTGACTGAGTAAACAAATAAATGCATAAGCACAGAGAGTAAGGAAATTGAACCATATAACTGAGTCTGAGTGGGTTGCTGCCACAGTTCCATGCAATAGATTGGGATTATTGCATGCCAGCCAAAGCTGTAGTAATTTATAACTGTAGTGACGACAGCTACATCTCAGCCTACCTAAGGGCCCGTATAGGAATTCTTTTAATAATAATAATAGTAAAACTGACTAACATTTATAGAGCATTTACTGTGTGTGTGACAGGCTCTGTGCTAAGGAATTCACAATTTTTATCTCATTTGATTCTCACAACAACCTTGGGAAGTAGGTGCTAATATTATTCTATTTTACAGATGAGGAAACTGAGGCAAATAGAGCTTAGGTAACTCAGACAAGGTCACGACTAGAAAATGTCTGAGGTCAGATTTGAATTTAGGCCTTCCTGACTCCAAGTCCAGTGCACTGCAAACTGTTTTTTGATAAATATAAGCCATTAATTAAGATGACAAGGGGAGTGGTTTCCCTAAGATTCATAGAATGGAAGGAATGAAAATGAAAATTTTATTAGTAAAGAATAAAGTAGGATAGAGAGTTCAAAAATCTCATAATTGTAAGATTTCATAATTTTTCCAGTGGGTTTGAACCTTTGAGATAATGCAAATCAACAAGATTGAGCTGTCTTTCCTCAAAAGCAGAATACAAAATTTATTTATCTAATTTAGTCAATTTTTTGTTCCATTAGGCCTACATAAATAATTAGGACAATATATTTAGATCTAGAAGGAACTCTAGTAGACATCTTGCTGACATCTTCTTATTTTATAAATTTAGAAATTGAAGCCCATAGAAGCTAAAGTCATCCAGGTGGTCAGTGACAGAGCTTTATTTGAACTTATTCTCTGGCTTCAAATCTAGCACTCTTTCCCATTATATAACATTAACCTTTCCATAGCAATATCCTCAATGATCCAGCTTCCTACTTTCCATTTTATACTGAAGTTCTGCTTATGTGAAATTGATAGAATTATTAATAATTAAAAAAAACCAGCTTGTCATCCCTCCAGGTATCAGCTAGCCCACTGGGCTGAGAAAGAAAATTTTATAGTCTGTTAAATTCTACATAACAAAGTTATTCCTATCTGTATTCTCTGGAAGCTACCAAAGTACACAAAGGTAATACACCAATTTCATGATAGAGCATAGAATTTTATGTGGGAAAAAAAGCTAAAATCAACATAGAGAAATAGTATAATATAGAGCAAAAAAAAAATCAGAAAAGTATGCTTGATGGTACCTAGTTAGGGGAGAGAGAGAAAGTGGGAAAGAGTCATCTTTGCACGGCTTCCTCATAGTTATTGCTGAGGAATGGGCTTCTTTCAATAAGGCACAGTCTAAGTTGTCATCATAAAATAGAGGCTGAGGCAACCTACTGCTACTGGCCTCTACCTCTAGACCACAATTCCAACCACTTTATACATCCCATGACTTTTGCCGCGATTCACTCTTTCTCCTTCCACCGTATTCTTTACCTCTTCTCCCTCCAGATCAGTTCAAGCTTGCCACTAGTTCACATAGTCCCAACCAGCAAAGGCCAGGTCTTAGAGGAGCCATGGAGGAATGAAAAATGTTACTTCCTCTAAAACAAGAGTTATTAATCTGTTTTGGTGTCTTGGACCCATCTGGTAGTCTGATGAAGTCTATGGACCCTTTCTCAGGATAATGCTTTAAAACGCATGAATACATAGGGTTGCCAACCAAAATACTTTGGATTACCAAGTACAGTCATGAAAAAAATTAAGTTCACAAACCTAAGGTTAAGACCCTCTGCTCCAAAACTATAAACCCCATGGCTCCTAATGAGCCTCTGGAATGCCTCTTCTTTCACCTGCCAAAGAGTCAGCCTCACTCAAAAGCATGTTATATGGTGATATGCTTCTCCAAGGTCTTAGTTTATTGATCTTCCAAC